TCATGCGGGTATCACAATTTGCACAATTGTTTGACTAACAGCCCTGACTTGCAAAGAACTTGATGCCGCACAAAAAGTGAGTTACATTTGCCTGGTGATTGCATTTACAGTGAAACACAGAAGAGCAATTTGCAGCTTTCCTGTTCTACACATCAAAGCTTAGTTAAATGCCATATAGGTATAAAAGATATAATGACTGTTTCTGTCAGCATAAAAAAGGCTGCAATGTTTTCGTCAACAAGTTCACGAATTGTGGTAATGCAGTAGCTGACACCGCTACAGGTACAACTTGCAAACACGACGAGTGCAGCTTTTTGGTCAGTTGAAGGGTCTGCTGGTCCAGAAATTATTTCTCACCAAAAATATCTTTATTATTCTAACAGAGAGGTTTAGTTTTACCTTCATTATATCTCAGAAGCATTCGTACTTGCAACCATTCTAATTTACACGAATCCTATGCACAGAGAGCAAATACATATCTGTGTCTCTGCTTGAAGATATTTATGTATCTAAGACAAACAACGATGCTCACCGATTATAGAACAAATTTTGCAGAACGGACGCCATGCTACCGCCTTGTTTGACCAACGTATCCATGCAAAGTACGTCAGTAAATATATTTTGCAGATTCACTGTTTCGCACAAAATTGTTATCAAAAAAGTTGCACTAAAAGGGTCAGCTTTGTTTGGTTTATGCTCATCTTAACACCAATTCAATTCAAAAACAGCAAATCAGCTAATCAAACGAATGACTTGAGTTTTCTGTCAATCTACCATTAGCCAATTAAATAAACGCATGTGATATTAGGCTTTTTGATTGGCCAATTTTGATTGACAGATGGCTCAAGCCATTTTAGTATCTGCCGATTGCCTTTCACATCATCAGGGGTTTGGTTGCTTTTCGATAGATACCGTAAATCCTCGAATTAGCCCCCTGGGAGCTTGTTTTTTGGATACTTTTAGATGGGGGCTTATTCGAGGGGGGCTTATACAAGGGGGGGCTTATAAATTATTGTAGACATTAAGAAGACATTATCAAAAGAAGGAATTTCTTTTTGATTATTTAATTAATTACTATCGAAAGTATGAATTTGTTGTGGTAATTCAATAATACGCCATATAGGCAACCTCAGATGGCAAAAATTATCAAATGGAGGGGTCCAATTCGAAAATTTACGGTATTCAAGACAAAATTAGTCAGCTATCTGGATTAATTTGTCCATGAATTGGGGAAGATGATGCCAGTACTCAACTCAATCCAATTTTGAATAATCGTTCTTTTGATATGTCTGTTTTTACATTTACTTTTACCTCTTGCAGCACATTTCAAAAGTCGTATTTATATTTAGAAATATCTCTCAACAATTTGCTTCAAATACGTATTACGCTGTTATGTTCTAAAACAAGAAATGCTTCAAACATTCTCATTAACAGTATGCTGAGAGGAAGGGAGGCATACACATTCAGTTGTTTCCCATTCAGTATTCAGTTATAAACGAAATAGTATAAAGTTACTGGGAAGGTACATGCCCCAAGCTCTCCCCGCTCCTGACGTCTCCGAGCTACATGAGACAACATATGACTACTTTGAAATTTTTGTTTGTTTCTAACTGGCTCCTGAAGAGTGGTTTTCTTGACACTGCAGTGCTTAACGGGCAGTTCCCTTGCCATTTCTCTTGATTAGACCACACTTTATGTTTCTTATACGTGGTGTCACAAAGATTTTAAAGCACGAATGAAAGCCAAGGAAACATTGAAATTACCTAAAGGCACAAAACGGCAAAACAAATTAACCTAACAGGAACATGTGCACTTAAATAGAAGCTTACAAGTAGCTGATAGAAGATAGAAGCTGTTCTCGGCCGGATCGGTCTTGCATTTCATTCTAGATTCGATGAGAGAATGTTTGTGGGTGGGTAATGTTTTGGCAAACTTTTCTTCGTGTTGTGATTCTATGTTTTTGAAACTGCCTTTTACGTAACCAAATGTTAGTCATCCCTATACCCTGTTGTTAAGGTTGACGTAATGGCGTTACCTGTTGGTAAAAGAGCATACTCTTGCAGAAAAGGGCATGGCCTGAATCTTAAATTTTGTCCACCTAGTTATTGCGCCACCATTGCATATGCATGGAGTTAGATCTGCACGTCAAAGAAGGAAAAACATATGTTCATTATGTTTCCACTATGTTGGAAACATGCTGTTTAGAGCTATAATTGACTTTCTAATTTACCTTAGTTTACTCAAACTAAGGGTAGACACTTCGTTCTAGAAAAGATTTTATCTTGCTTGTTATTAGAATCGTGTAATCAAACAGGCAGCTGCAGAAATCGTATTAACAGGCAAACATTGTCAAGCAGTCAGGTACATATCAAGCACTGACAAATGTAAACATGGCCTGAAGATATCATTATAAACAAAATAAACAATCCATAGCAACGAAAGTTTTTATCTACTAAAATTTGCGTATCTTCTTAGACAGGGCGTAGGATGGTTCCTGGAAACCATTTCGTCTATGATTGCCATCAATTCTTTGATTGAATAAAGATAGGACTGGAGACAAATAAAGATAGAGTTTAAGAAAGATAAAGATAGGACTGGGTGTCTTCATTTTACGTTTTTCATACATATCTGAGTTTAAAGACGGCATTCTATTATGTTTGGTTTATTGAGTTCCTTGGATTTTTGTGTCACACACAAACTATGGAAACACCCATATAAAAAAAATAGCTTTTAGCTTCGAGGTTACGAAGATAAAAAGATAAATAAAGTAAATTGCTGCATTATTTTGTTGCTACTGATCACAAAATTTAGCAAATTACACAAAAATTTTCATCCCTGTTCCTCGCACCTGTTTATCTTGAAAGATGACCTAATCAATCCATTTTGCTTTGTTCTAGCAACGTAGGTAGAAAATGCATTTGGATGGGAGGGGAGAGGGGTCAGCAGCCTATCATTCTATTGACAAAAGCATTTATTTTTGGGTTTGACCATGAGCTTGATCAGAATTAAAGCAAAAAAGCAAAAAGTTGATTTTCACAGACAAGGTATATCTTGTAATGTCTTGTTACCATTCTGAAAATATGTTAGTGAAACTGATCTGAGCCAAAACAATTACGGTTTATCTTAATGGTAGGCTTTTGTTGTTGCTTTTGTGTAAGCTGCCTCATTCTTATTACTATCTATTCCCTTCTTGACTTGATTACTTCAACCGTTGCTTTCTGATTCAATGTCCAGGGCAAGCAGCTTTGCAAGCCTCTTTCTTGAGATTCTTTTCTGGATTTTCTCTTTGTCAAAAGGGACGTCCATCGTCCTTTGATAGCAAAACTCTGTAAATTCAAGTAGATTCTTCATATACCCAGCTAACTTTTAATAGGACTGCACGAATGATATTCCAGAGTCTGTCAATGTTATTCATTTCTCTGACTTGAGTGTTAGTTTTCTGACTTTGAAATGTCTTGTTTGTCTTGAAAAATAGACAAAACGAACATTGGGATAGGCAACTGTGCTTGAAAAAATCCCTGCTTGGGGATTCCTTCAAGTCTTCATGCTAGAATTCGGAGATCTGTGAACTAGACAAGACGAAAGAAAGTCTCGCAGTGTCATATTTTGATTAAATCTGTCAAGGCTCTGTAAGGCGATTGCTTTTTGCTAGATGAATGATCGGTGAATTCAGGCGGAAACTGTATAAAGGGATAGGAAAAGATCAACTCAAGTCTTATACAAAATCTCTGGATTGTGTCAGCCGTTTGGTACATGGTGCGATATATATTGTAAATGGGCAGCTGCTCGCTCAGTAGCATATTGAGAAAAGAGGCAACGAAAAGGCTATCGCCCACTAGGAAGGTACACAAAAATTAAAGAGTTTCAAATGACATGTTCACATGCGGCTTATATTGTCAGATGTTCTGTCGAGTTAAAACCGACAATCATGGGTGAAAACTGATGAATATTAATGATAGCCTCTGATATGTTCAAAACAAGACGAAGATCAATATAATTCCATCATTTTTTGTTTTGTATTTTCTCTATACTTTCTTTTTGTGCTAAAGAAAATATAAACACTGAGTTGGGCCTAAAAATTTATGACATAAGGAGCAAGACAAAATTGTGCATCGTTTTGAAAAAAAACCCTAACTTTGTTGAAAAAAGCTGAAATTTCCCCCAGTGGTGCCATTCATTTAGAATTCCGCTTCATAGAAATCAATGAACAAGCAAATCAACATAATTCATTTATTTGCGAATTTCTACTTCCAGTGGTTCTGTAAACCATTCAAAGCCCATTCAGTTTCCCAGTGGGTCGCATCAGTGCACGAAGAAATTGATGCGTGATGCACATAAACTATAAGCGGTGGAGAAGGCGTTTGAAAGTAACCGAGGTTTTAATAACAATAAACACAATAGATATGCAAACAAGTACTTATTTGTAGTTTCCTCTGATAAGAAGCCTCGTTAAATCGCGGTTTCAGAGAACTACAACAAATTGAAGAAGGCCACCATTTTCAGATGCCAGCGAACACGCCGACAAGAATTTATATGTCCACGCAAGCCACCGCTGCTTGGCAATAACTTCGAGGTAATTGTATTCCAGATTTATCATTGCTTAGAAAAATCAGCTTTCGGGAGAAATGCTTAAGTCTTGTAGGATTTGAGCCGCGGTATTTGACAAGCAGTTCTATAAAGAAAGATGGGAATAAATGGATAATTGTTAAATCGGTTTGTTTTAAAGATGCTCTTTGTGATCTGACTGCGCGTAGTTTACAGGAGTTTGCATTATCAATTCTGTTTCCGCCAGCTCATGAAGTCTTATCCACTATAATCGAAAACAGCACATTTTATGTAATTCTATGAATCATTTTTCTGTCTCCTGTAATACATTCATGACATTTCGTGGCCAAAAGAGTTGGTCGTAAAAGATTTAAGTCCAATTATCAGTAGAAGTGATGGTCCGTGGAGAGGCGAATGAAGCAGGGAAGGTATAGGTAAGCATGCACTACTAGTTAGCTATGGTAATTCACAGGCATCTAATTAATTGACACAAAACAAAGAAAACTTGTCAACTACCGGCATTCAGCAATAAATTTTATGATTGGGTGAAGTTAGACCCGAGTTCAATGCCCATCGAATGTGCTACATTTATCAAAACGATTTGTGTTTAGTGATCCTAAATTGAAACGGGCATTTATTTCGGCCATCATCGCACTGCTGTTGCCATTAAAACAGCCGTTAAAATCGTCCTAGATGGAGTTTACAATCTCACGGTCGCAGCCCTCTAATCAACCAATTTGTTTTACAATTAGTGGTGAAGTACCAATTCCTGTCTTTTTCTTCCTTTGGTAGTTATCCTGTTCATTCAATTCCAGTCCCAGAACAAATGTAATCTAAGGTTTGTTTTGACGCAAACCACGCAAACCCCATACCTACTTTTCTCCTCCAATCGTTTTCATGCTTTACCATACAGCAACATTTTTCGTTTGAAGGTATAGCTAAAAAGCAAATGTGAGGTGGGAAATCTTCCAAACTGCTGAGGTGGGTTCCATCTGCACAGTTTCGGACACAAGCATATGTTCCGAAACCACCCCCCCCCCCCCCCTCACCGTTTCTTTTTAACGAATCCTATTCTTTGAGGCATCATAACCCTCTAATGACATAATTTTTTGATATGCTAATATTCACGAAGCTCAATGACACTACCAACTACGTATACTGCATTGCGTTTTCTGCTTTGTGCATTTTTTACATTTGGCATTTACATATAAAAATAAACGTTTGGAACATAGGAAATTAAAAAACATTGAAGAAAGTAACTACGTTTCAAGGTGAATAGCTCTCTGTTATGAGAATAGTGTCAAAGGTAGATATATTCTAGATTTACAATTTTGAAGCTTTTTCAGTATAGAAATTAGCGAGGTTCTTTTGCATGAATGGCAACGTTTTTCATATCAAAATTTCATAATAAGAGAGACCCTTTAAGTGTATGCAATCTTTTTTCAGGTGCTGGCAATTTTATACTGATCTTTTTACTGTTGTTTCTATGCAATTCCAGCTCGTGAAACCAGTGGCGGAAATTCCTTTTACAGGAGGGGGAAGGCAAAACCCAACAAACAAATTTGTCGACAAATAACAACATTTACTGAAAAAACTGCATTAAACTGTGTTTTAACCGACAGTTTAGCAAAAGCTGGGGGCACTTTGCATAGAACTGATGGTTGCTGGTAGCCTTAAATGAATAGAATGATGGCCCTCATTACCACTGTTTGTTTCGATTTTTGCGGATGTGGCCACTCTAGCTACATACTATTAAATAATTTACATGCTTAGTGAAAAGCAGAAATACTTAATTTAAATTTGCAATCGTATGAAAACAGGTTCCAGTGTAAAAACAGAAGGAAACGTTGTATGATAGCCTTATGATACAGGCTACATTGCTACTCTCTTCAAATAGAAGGGAAAATCTGTTTGGGGATGTTCTAGGTATTCACCTGTGCTACTGTTTGTCAAAAAGTAGAGCCACAAAATATTATGTTTGTTTATGCCTGAGACATGTATAACAAATTGTGAGTTAGTATAACAAGGAGATTAAAAGTTTCATTGCTAATCGGATGAATCTTTTTTGCTGCAAGGAAAACTGTGAGCTTCTTTTATTAGCTTTTATCACATATTTGTTCAGCTTTCTTATGTTTCACTGGAAATGTTAATGGGAAAAATTTGCCTTTGTTTGCCTACTCGAGACTGTTTGCTTTGCTTTCTAAAAGATACATTTGAAGTCAACTAAAATTAGAAGGATAAACTTAAAAGAGGATTTTGAATGGGTTTGCTCAACAAAACCAGTAGTTTGTTAGTTTTAAAGATATCTAACTTTTATAACATGCAACAAAAATATCATGTTACCCATGAAGACCCACGATTTCTTTTGCAAGAAAACAAACATCACAGTTGCTGACGACAATTTCTTTTAGACTGCACCTGGCTTTAGCTGCTAAGAAATTATTGAAATAACTTGTTGAATATTCTTGAATGCAACCAAATATTGTATTAATGTAGAAAATGGCTTTCCACGCTTCTTGTCTTGCTTAGAGGTGGTTTAGGATGAAGAAAGTAATTTTTAATGGGATCATTTTGCGATCTTGGCTTATTATTATTGCTTTGTTTGCGGTACGAAACCAATTTAGATATTGAATAAACGCAAGTTCTTTTATAGTCAAAAGGCGTGTTATTCATATTAAAAAAGAATCGTGTGTTTTGGGGTTTCGTAAATCTTACTTGAAGATTGTTAATATTTCTAGTCAGGTGCGCCAACCCTGGAGGGGCTGCAGGGGCAGCTGCCCCTACTGTCCTCTTTCAGGAGGGCCAGTGGGGGCAAGCAGTGCCCTTCTATTAAAGAATTGTAGAACCCTTTGAATAATTGCTAAATAGTTTAGTCCCTCTCATTATGTGTGTTAATTTCCATTAGAAATATAAAAAAAATAGAAAAATCCCTCTTTTTTGCAATCGATTTTTCATAACAAAATATTATTTTAAGAAGAAGATAATAAACTGAAAAAGCCAACGGCATAAAATACTGACTTTTGTGCACATAATCAAGGTATTCATTTTCAATTTCATGTAATTATTATTTTCCCTTTTACACTCTCTATGATTCTGCAACCATGCAATATTGAAACTGAGCGGAGTTTTACGACCAGCCCAGTTATAAATGCCATGGTTTTCGCACAACCAAGATTTCCGAATAATGACAAGACCCACTTGCATGGAGAATTTCGTCAACATTATGCATATGTTTAGAGCCTTTAGTTACAAATTACCCAGCTCTATGGGTAGAACAGATCCATGTTAATGTCTTCAAAGGAAACAACTTTATTTGCTTTACCTTTTGAACGTTCATTTTCTTATTACTTTGTTTCTGTTTAGCCTACAAAGCAGGCTATTCTGACGTCACACTCGTGTAAATGGCTTTTTTATGAGCAATGGTTTAGTGTCTAGCTCAGCTTTAAGTATACGGTTGAAAAACTGGACGACATTTTGGCTATAAAACATGACATTTTTGCTAAAAAGCATGACGTTCTGGCTATAATGATTACTATGACGTGTCTTAAATCTCTTTTTCAAGAAGTCACTAATCTCACTATTTTGATAATTTGATATTTAACTCTATTTCATCTTCTTTGTTTTGCCAATTGAATCAACTTTCTTCTTTCAATGATTAGAACGGAAAAACTTTTAATCCACAACATCTCGTTATATTTTGAGAGCCATTAATAGAATTTAAAGTTAAGTCATTAACAAACAAATGCATATGTAAAGTGCGGTAGAATCATAGCCTGAGTTCCAGACCCCTAACTACAGTACATAATCAGAGCCGTTGGAAACGGGGTAGGTTGCATAGGATGGCTGCAAATGATTGTTTATTATTTCCTTTATAACAGCGTACTGAGCAGGAAGCACCCCTCTCCCCCAGATAATAAATTTCCTTCCGACTGTATTGTGTACAGAATCTGCTTCTAAAGACTTTCTTATTGTGGTAATATGCATACCCATGTAGACCAGGGGCAGTTGTCCTTTCAGATGGATATTTCAGCATGTTCTTTTGTAAGATTCTACTTTGTGGGATTGCTTATCAGTGGCAGAGGGAATAGGGGGACTAGGGAATGGGGGACTAGCCCCCCATTTTTTCAGGAAGTTGACCCTTGAGATTCTTGCAAACCTGATGAGAAAACTTTAGGGGGGGGGGTTAGTACGTTATCTAGATCGTCATATTTAAATGACATTTCTTGGGAGACAAGAGGTGTTTCAAACAGGGAAAAAAGCGACGAGGTCCAAAGGGCGTGGTTCCTGCCACACCTTTTGTCCCCCGACTTATCCCAGACTGGAGCTGCCACTGATTGCTTTAACTCTGTTGCAAGCTATTTTAAATGGATAAGACGCGAATGACCTTTTTCTTTCATTAACGCCCTTGCTGTCCTTAAAAAAAGATTGTTATGTGTCTTAAAGTCCCATCTCTTTCGATTGGGCCAAATAAGCCTAATTTCTTGTTTGGAAGACCTCGTGTTACCCAAAGATTTCTTTTTTGTAGCTTAATTTGCCGAATATTATCAACAAAATTTCTTCTATTTATTTTCAATTATGATACCTGCAATATTTGCTTCACATTCTAATGGGAAAATCAGTTTCAGCAGCAAAGCAAAGCCTTTTTATAAGAATACTGATTAAAATAAAGCGAAATCTTTGGCTTCCACGGTTTTTTCACTGCTTCAATATCTTTGTTCAAACATTACACGAATTAGGTGGTTGAATTTGGGAAAAGCTGGTTGTTCTGTCAGCTTTTTTTTCAAAAACATAATGCATTAGGCCCTCTGTCCCAAGTTTCTATTCAATAATAGCAAGCAACAAGTATTTTTGCTGGAAAGTCTGTGACTGCAAATGATAAGCTGGACTTTTTCAGTCGAGGGGCAAATCACTTCAAGAAAATCTCGTACACCTTTTGTGAAAATCCTATTGTTTTAACTGAAAATCCCCAGAAATTCTTTTGTTTTAGAGAAAATCTCGTACGCTATTTGCAAGAGTGAATTGCCCCTCGTTTTCAGTTACTTGAGAATGAATATGTGTCAAATTGGGACAAAATAGGTTAAAATTAGCAAACAGAAATAAATGTATTACCCTCCCCCCCTTACAAGCCATTTTCAAATCAATACATCACTATTTTTGCAATAACCTTTGCTTTTCAAGGAATAATTTGGAAAGTTGACTTAACTAGGGTAAAAAGATATAACATGGTTAGTTAAGACTCCTAAAAACGTTATAAATGCCTTTTGATTACTTTGTGTGCAATCAAACTCAATTCGCTTCCATAGTTCATATGTACCTACAGAAGAAACAGAGGGTAAATGCATTTTGTGTCAAAAAACCCTTGAATGAGTTGTTTCTAGGAACAAAGTTTCAACATTCCTGACGTCAGAGCGAATTCAACATTGGTTAAGCAAAATATTTGGTATTATTGGTTAAGCAATATATTTGACTTGACTGTTTGAAGCCAACTGAAGAATTTGCCACAATATTCTGTTGTCAGTTATTATCGTGGACTTAAAAATATATTATGTGCAAGAGTATCCATTTGTTGAAGGCCACAAAGAATTTGATAAAAGCGTCATGTGTCATTTTGAGTGCCTGATTATTTTAAACCTTATCGAAGATATTTCTTTTTTTCAAGTTACATTAGTTTAATGATATCTTGCACGCCTTTTTATAAAAACAGCCCTCAAAACTAACAAAAAACTGAGATTTGCCCAAAAAATAAGAATAACATAAGAAACAAGGCAGGTTGAAATTCAACAAAACTCAAGAAATAACTTACCAGCAAAAATTGGAAAATGAAAAAACAGCAACAGAAAAACAGAAAGCGATAAGCAAAATAGCATTAATTACTTTATCAAGCACGTGTCATGTCCGGGCACTACCATGCACAGGAAATTCCATTGCAAGAATAAGAAACATGCGAGGCTAACAATATTCGAGAAATTAAGATACGCCATGCTGAAACTGGAGGCAAGTGTCCTTTTAAAAAAAACTTGTTTCAAATTGAAAATTTGGATGACTTGGATTGCAGTTAAGGTAGCAAAAATCCAAATCATATCACGCGATCCGCACATTTTAAAAGCTCTATGATATACTGAGTATTCTGGGACTGAACGGCCTAAATTATACAGCGCCGAAAGAACGAGAATCGGACGGTGTGGCTAGAGACCTTTCCTTGTATTTTGTCTTGTGTATCAATTGAATGAAAATTCTTTAGAATTTCTGTAATTTGTATTTTTTCTACTCCAAGAACAGCTTGCAAGTTTCATTAGGTCAGGAGCCACCCCGGAGCGGTGACATCTTTAGCTCCAATGTTTAGAAAACGTTGCTTTACCATCCATAGGGCAATTGTTTTGTTTGAACTTGCCTGAAACATTATAAACAAGTTCCTTTTTCAAATTTTTCTTTCCGCTTTGCAATACCCCCTTCGTGACTCTCCTTTCAAAGATTTTATTGAAGATTCCTCTTCTTTCCCTGCCCCCTTCTTTTTCTTCAGTGTCTTGGTTTCCCTGTTTTTTTTATCCTTGCCGATCATTGCATCAAATAGGCCTAAGAGACAGGGGCTTTGAGGGGCTGCAGACTCCTAGTCAGGCGGAATTTATTGCATTCAAAGCTCTATTCGAGCAACTGTATCTCAATGAAGCAGTAATATTCGAGCAAGATCCACACTAAGCCCCCTTTACGTTCACCATCCGCTACGCTCATGGACCTCACTACTCTGTCTATCACCGACCCACTCTTGTCACTTGGGCTCACTGAGGCTCTGAATTGTATTGTTGAAATTACCTCTGGTTTTCTATATATTAGGAATGCTATTTGTGAAGTCAATTTCTGAAGAAAGGCTTCATAGAGCATTATTTAAAGCAAATCAGGAACGGGGTCAAAAAATTATAAGATGTTGCTCTGGAGGGAGAGCACAGAGTCTTAGATGAGTGAGCCCCTTGTTGATGCCAGAAGGTTTCTACTTCTATAGAAAACTTTTTCTAAGAGCCCCGCTACCCCAAGCTTTAATTCCCTTTCACTACTCAAAAAACAATATTAATCAAGAAGAAATAATGAAAATGTGAGATTTTTTGGCTAAGTTAGCTTGAACACTTTTGCAACGCAGGGGCTCTATCACCATAAATGACGGCTGAAATGCTTTTATTTTTGTAATATTTCTTTTATTGAAAAGGTATCTAGGCCAAGATAACCTCTAACTTAGTAAAACAACAACAAAATAACATTAATAATAATTATAATTATAAATTATAATACTGTCGGAGATTGTTTGAGGGTCAGAGCCAGTGGCCGTCGCATCCAACCACTCGACATGTTGACCCCACGTGATATCCTGTGCCCTAATGCCTACGCTGTGACCACACGACCCTACTTCCTGATGCAATATGCAGGGACGCATTGAAACCAATCCCCAGAAACTTTGACAAACGCGACTTTCTTTTATTTGTAGTATATTGTACACAACTGTTGATATTTACACTTCCACGCTAGGAGCAAAGAGAACGATCGTTGGTCCATGGACTAAATTTGCTGTAGGAATTCACTCGATGTTGTCGGGTCTAAAGATGAATGGTCAAGGTTCTGCTGTATTTCTGCTCTTGCTGTGGGTCTCTGCGTCGCAGATAGCACTGCTAAAAGCAGTTTGTGCAGACAAATTTCGCATTTGTGTAACAACAAAATCTTCAAGAGTATATCAAAATCAAAAGTCATACGAGAGCCCGGAATTTCCAGATCTGCAACTTTTGTTCAACAACGATTTTAAAGCTGACAATGTATCGTATGAGGACATCAGGCAGCTGTGAGTACAAATTTAGTTTTGTTAAACATTTGGGTTTTATAAAGCATTCAAGAAGTTTCTATTATATTGTACAGTATAAAATGTCATGTTGCAATCATGTTATCAGTGTGTGACATTTGACACAAAACATATGTCTATCAGTGTCTGTTTCGACCTTTGTCACTATTTCTTACAACGACAAGGGAAAGAAAACAATTCAATTAGGTGACTACAAGATCTTGAGGCATGGCCACACTTCTGGACCACAAAATTTCTATCCTGTGTTTGAACCATAACATATCCTATACCAAAGCTAAGATAGATCGCGATAAAAGATTCCATTGCAAAAACGAGAAGTTTTCGGTAGATAAAGGATGGCTCGCCTAGTTATCCGCAAATGGGACCCAACACTCCATTTTCTACTGAAAATAGCAAGAAAACGTTCATCTGTGAAAAATTCTGCTTTAGACCTGTCAAACAGTAATTATCAGAAACTGGAGATTTCAGATTTTTGCAGGGAGATTTGGCCAAAAACAGGGAGATCCCCGGAATTTTGTTGAATCGAGTTAAAATAATGAAACTATTGTTAGGTTAAATTTATCAACAACATACCTGTAAAAAGTTATGCTGGGCAAACATTTAATGACAAAAAATATGATAGGAAACTTCAACATAATGGTTTTCTTCGAGTTTTTTATTAATTCCTAAGCACAAAAAATGTTTTCATGAAGAACGCCATTGCAATAATTTTGCTCAAGAATACCTCTGCTGAAAGATATGGAAGGAAGAAACAGGGAGGAAATCTCATGAAATCTGGAGGCTGGGAAAAGCAAGCAAAGCCTAGGGCTATGCCGGGAGAGTTGACTAGTCTGCTGCATGCTTCTAACGTTTTGTAAGTCCCAGAAGCCCAGACAGGCAAAAATTATGAACAGTTTATGGCCAACTCAAAGCTAGAGGCAAGGACCCAGTGGGGGGGGGGGTACTCCAATGAAAGCCTGAAAGAGGTTCCGGTCGGTTTGAGGATCTCACCAAATGGCTAAAAATAGCCAAATTTAGACAGTTACGCTGCAAATTGTGGGTATTGTAAGTAGTTGCTACCTCTTAGGGGTACTTCAAATTGACTGCTGATTTGGGACTCAATTTCGATATTTTTACGAGTTAGAGGACCTGTGTGGTGGATCATTTACTAACACATAAACTGTTGGGTGGATCATTTTTATGAAAAAGTTAACAAGCTGTTCTATTTTGTGTAATTTGCAACGCTCTCCAAAGGACAACAACTTTCTCGGTTGAAAGTCAACGTGGTTGTGAACTTTACAAAAATCTCCTGTGCCGTTGGGTCTATTTAGCTGTTAAAACAAATACAACACCAGCAAAGAGGCTCAAGCGTCTCCAAATATCAGCCATTGACCTCTTTGACTCATCCTTGAAACTGGTTTGAGACTGGTTTTCGAAACTTCTCCGATTACGGAAAAAGAGAGCAATACAGCTGAAATGTTTATCAACAGCGGGGGGACTTTAGAGGGGACCCCTTGAAACGCCCTTGAATTAAGATTAACGTGAAAATGGCCGATCTCCTTGTTTTGATTAATTGAAATTTTGCAATTGAGTTAGATTTTGTAGCCTGATAAAATTGTTACTTGTGGCATATCTGGCATATACCATACTCAAGCATTCCACTCTTAACTTTCTACTTGATATAAGCATGGTTATCAAATCTTGCGATGAACTAAACTTTCCTTGCACAACAAGCCCGCCCGCTGCGTTTTCTGCTGTCAAGAGTTTTTTTTAGAATTTGCAATTTCAGTTTTGTCATTTTCTGTGGAATTAGTGGTAAGCAGAAAGCCGTTGGGTCGGATGTGTTTCCATAAATGTAATGCGTCACTTCATCATAATCAAAAGATCAGTCGTCCAAATTCTGATATTCGATGCGTAAACTTAGTGTGCATTTCTATGGTGGCCGAAAAGGGCCAACCTAAAATCTATTTCAAAGTCGCAAAAAATGATTTTAAATCGCAAGGTATATTTCACAATGATCTTAAATCGTAGTACATGTTCCTTAAATATTTCACAATCTCAACATATATTTTGAAATTGCAACTTTGAAATCAAAATCCCGAAGAATACTTCAAAATCTCAATATATATTTTGAAATCGTAATCCAGATTCAAAAATCCTGAGTGTTCTTTTACTTCAACTGTTCGGACACATCAACTGTCATTTGCATCATGTTTTGCTTCAATTGCGGCCATAATACAACAGATGAAACTCATTTTTGTACAGTATGTGGGACAGTTTGCCCTTTGCCTTGTCCATGGCCACCTGCCCTAGGCCTGGTCGGCCTGTCTGCATTTGCAGGATCATCGTTCCTTCTTTTTCTTTCGAAATGGGATACCCTTTCTTCAGTTTTTCAGCAATGAATGACGCAAGCGAAACTGTAGCTGACCTATTAGATGACTCTTTAACTTCCTCGATCATCTCACCGCAAAGCATACAAAATCGGTCCCCATCTCTTACTTTTGAACCACAAGCTGGACAGAATGCACGCGCCATTTTGTGCTGGATTTTGGAATTTATTTCGTGATTTGAAAGTTTTGGGTCTTCGAAAAATATGGCACTGTACTGAGTATATTTCAAGATTTTCAAAAAAATTCTGTGGAGTTGCAAAGTATACCTTGAGATTTGAAAATCGTTATTGGGATTTTGAAATAGATTTTGGGTTGGCCCTTATCGGCCACCATACGTTACAGATCTCTGACGTCTTTCCCTTTAAGTTTCATAAACCCAGCTGCGTACAAATTTACTTTTCAAACATAAAGAAACCTAGACTCTGGAAGTGACTGGATGAAATAGGTGCAGCTCAGGATGTGGCACTTTATGGCCACACCCATAATTTAGTTACATTATAATTACCTTTCTTGTGGGATTGAGTTAACAATCAATTGGTAATGCGATTGGGATCTTGTGGGATTGAGGCTCTCTACCTCCTTTACTTAGTAAGTCTTAGGCCCTTGTTGCAAATTTGTTGGGACTCAAACAACGAGATTTTCCGAAACTCGTGCACCAATTTACGCTTGTGCTGGAAAAAGCACATATTTGCTATTGCATTGTTGGAGCACCAATATTTGTAAAAAGGCAACAAAATATTGATATCAGCTCCCTAAAGATTTTATTTTATCCATTTCGCATGCTGCCCTCCACCCTCCCCTCTCCCCCCTCCCCCCTCCTTTCATGCCTTCAAGAACAATTCCTCCGGTGAAGGTTTTTCAATTCAGGTTAAATCCTTTTTTGTTTATATATCATCAGTCAGTAATAGGAAAATGCTCTTTTGCAGGGAATTTAATGCTGCAAATATTGATACTATTGACCCCGATGAACTTGGCAAAATGGTAAACTTACATGAGCTGTAAGTATTCAGCTGCAATTGCAATTCCTTTTAAATTGAACCGTACCATCTAACCACCACAAATCTTGTATTATCAAAATCGAGCCTTTTTCTCATTTCTTTCTCATTTCAATTTCGGTTTGCAAGTCCTATTGGTAAAGTTTAATGTCAGTAAAACAGTAGCATATTTGTTTAAAACTCAGACTTCACTATTACATAAAATTGAAAAGCTGAAGCATACCCCGTTCTTTTCAAATCAAATCCCTGCTTCAAAACTTCCTTGTCACTTTTTCAAAAACCAACAAACCTCCTTAAGAGACTAAGAACCTAGCAACCCTCTGTTAAAATGGCTTTGAAAAAAGCAAACATTTGAGTGAACTAAAACTTTTGACACTCTTTAGAGTTTACAACGTCAGAACATAGATCGAAAACTCTACGTTAGGAAATATATATACCCAGTTGTGGATAGAAATAGGCCAATCAGAAACGCGAGCACACGACTGTTGAGGTTGACCAATCAGTGCCGCTTGCCTATTGAGAGTGTTACCAATCGAGTCCTAAGGATTTACTCAAATGTTTCCCTTTTCCAAAACCATTTTCAAGTTTTGTACCACCAAAAGATTGTACCACCAGAGGCTCAGGATCAGGGTCATAAATTTATTGTATATTAACGTAGCATCGCCTTCTTTTAATAAAGATTTAAAATGGTTTTGCATCACAGTTTTGAGACTTTTGCTTTAGATGATCCACTCTTCGAATTCACAGAGTATAGAAGATTGCGTTACAAAAACACTAACACTTATCTTACAACACTTGTCGTAACTTGGCCTCTTCTTGGCCACTTTTGGCCTCTTCTTGGCCACTTTTGGCCTCTTTGTCCTCTATCTGGCCTCCCTTTGGCCACTTATTTGCCTGCCTAACTCTGCAAAGCTTTGCAATAAACGGCTGCCTTAGCTATATCTAACAATTTCATATGACGTGATTACAGCGATAATTAATGTACTGTAAATTAAAATCAAAATTTATTTGTTCTGAAATGCTTTGAAACAGAAATTGAATATGATGTCTTTTTCCAGGTACATAAAAGATTGTAAAAAAATCAAAAAGATACCTCCAAATGCATTCAGAAAAAACAAACAACTTTATATAATGTAAGTGCCATGTTGAAACCATTTCTTAATCAGATACACAACCTTTCAGTGACGTGATTATGAAAGGTTTAGATGACTCCATTCTGGGGTGCCATTTATGTAAACCTTCACGACAGAATTCGCTATTTATGCAACGTTGCAGATGACTTTGCTATTTCACAGTCTACAGAAACTGTTGGTTAATTTAGCAGCGCTTTTTGTTGACTATGGTCTTTTCTATCGGTGCATGGCTGTAGTCAAAAGCCTTGGCGATAATCTGTAGACTGGGTCAGGGGCAAATGGTCTTTCTGATCTTCTATACATGCACCCCGAGTAAAGATTCCAGATAGGCAAAGTTAGCTTTTGCATATACTAGGCCCTTCGGAGGCAAAATTCTGACGTTTGAGATTTGTAAAATGTTCATATATCAAAATCTATTACACGAAACGATGTTATGGTCAATGGTAAGATTTTAAGATCGGTTTCTTAGAAGGAAGTAGTACAGTTTTTTTTATAGAAATCGTTGAAGTTACTTTCTGGTTTCAACATTATAAATTTTCAACTGAAATGCAATATATGTGTAGTAGACTAGACCTTAATGTCTTACCTGCCAATCTTTGGTAGCGCCATTGCTGCCTTGTTCTACCAGCATGTTCTACCAGCATACTGCTTTTTGTTACAGAAGCATCATAAACTGCAATATAGAAGAAATATCAAAGAGTGCTTTTGATGGAGCGTTTGAAAATGGTCTTTTAAATGGAGCGCTGTAAGTACTTGCTAGACATAAAAATACAACGATTGGAAGCTACTTTATTTTCATCATATTAAATCATGTATTTATCATTGTTTATTCGACAACAGAGGAACTTCGCCGAACATTTAAATTATTGAAACCTATTAGAAAAGTGGCTCGAATCTAATTGCCTTGTGTGACTGCTAAAATCTAATTACCAAAGATAAAACACAGCGCTCTATCCACAGGTATTCCCTGCAATGTTTGCTTTTACTGCCTTTCAATTCACATCTTCTCTGCTTGTTACTTCATTATAAAATTTTTTCCCTTTCTGACAACATTCAAGTCATCTGACAACAGGCGACAAGTCTGACCATTCGAAATTTTCTTTCCTACTTGTTCTTCTCTCTTTCAAATTTTTCTGTCCAGTCCAACATTTGATAACCCGAGTACGATTACGGAAAATTGACTGTATGTTTAATTGTCTAAAATTCCACAAATCGTTTAGACTTGAAGTGAGGAAAAATATCTAGCGCCTAACATTAGAAATGATCATTTCCATTCTATACTTAAGAGAAGGTTCCAGGGCAATTTCGAAAAGGTTTAGGGTGATTAGTAACATTGTTCCTGCATTTTTTTGTTTTCTCAGGGGCTCAGTTTCATGTAGATGGCTCCTTATTAAACAGAATCAGTGTGCCATCATCACACATTGCTTTCTTTTTAGATATTTGCAAAACAACAAGTTGAAATCGTTTCCAAGATTTTCAACTCACGTTCCAGGACTGAAATCATTGTAAGTGAAGGATCATAATGTTCAAATGTTTTGGTGCAGGACCGATGTGGCTTTGGGGTATAATATATTTAGTTAAGTGACCACTGTTCCAAAATATCCTGCTTACAAAATATCCTTTGATATAAATATTCAATACAGTATTCTAAAAGTATCTAGTGGGTGTGGTCTGCAAAGTAATTTCTGAATAATTTGCTCGTAGACACCCATTCGATTCAGCCCCATAATTTGAACTTGAAAGTGCTTACGGTTTAGTTTTTGTTGATAATATAATGTTGATAAATAGAAATGTTCAACGAACTTTTTGAAACCTCTAGCTAATTCTAAAAAGTGTTTAAAATGGTCTCAATCTTTGTAGACACTTAGACGGGAATTACATTACGGAGTTGAGCAGAGGCACCCTGAAAAACCTATCTCAGCTATACATTCTGTAAGTAATAATATTTTCTTTGCTTCCTATGGTGACATGGATTTATTTTATGATTTATTTCAGAGTACATGGCCCCCTAAGACAAAATGCATCTATTTCAGAGAACATGGGCCCCTAAGAAATTATGTATCCAATTAAAGGATTGAATTTCAGTAATGTTTTGATAGAATTAGAATGTTTTGATAGAAGATATTTCGGCTCGTTTAAGTTCATCAGTTCTATATTTAAGATCATCAAAAAGGTAATATTTATAGTATCAACTGAAGGTTTGGGTGTTAATTATGATATTACTACCTTTAGGAAAACTTTTGTTACGTTTTATTGATTCCATTCTTGAGCAGGAATTCACTACCTTATGAGCCCCCTAGATTTCGAGGCCCTAGGCAATTTGCCCCTCCTAACCCCCCTCCAAAAAGCCCTCAAGCATAATATTTTTTTCTTCTGAAATTTCTCCTTTCAAAATATAACAGTTTTGTTTTGTTTTAGGTCTATGAAAAGCACTTCTCTTCAGTACATCGGTGATAAAACGTTTAGCGGAGAAAATAAACTCGCATTGTTGTATGTATTCTTTACCAAAGTTTTAACGATAAGATAAGCTCGTTGATTTATTTTTTACTCTTTAAGAAACCGTATAATCCATAAAGTTGAGTGCTGTCATTTTAGTCTCCATTTTATTTCTACATAGCGATGCATCTGGATCCGAAGATTTGGAGCATATAAGCAAGAACGCCTTCGAAGGGGCCTCTGCACTGATAACCTTGTAAGTATTGGCAAGGAAATGATGATAATGGTTCAAGTTAACAAATCTTGAAGTTATGTGGGGCTCGATTTAGCATGTATAAGAAAGTATTTATTGATGTTCATGTGGGAGGCACAAACAGTTCGAGTTATCGGGCGTTCGTTTTCCTTGTCTTGAAGGGAAATTTACGGGTTAAGATTTTCCAATTTTGCAATAATATTGCTTTTTCTTTAATAGTATTGCTTTTTCTTTAGAAACAATTAAAAGCCAGGCAGTTCAAGTTAACATTTTTATCTTTTCTGGTAAGCTGACTCTTTTATTTTATTCTTTTCACGAAATAATTTTTTTTCAGAGGATTGAACAACACAAAAATTTCCGAAGTCCCTAGCATTGGTCTAAGTAATCTCGCTGAACTGCACCTAAATGGTGTAACGTCGATAAACAGTGTCTCAGATGAAGTCATTAACCTACCGAAACTTACAAAAGTTTACGTGGATGAGCAGAGGCGGTTTCTTTGCTGTGCGTTCCTGCATAGACGCGGTGAGACGCTGCGGTCTACAAAAATACGAACTAACCGCACTAGAAATTGTGCAACGAATGCACCGATTACAACAGCAGCAACGTCAACAAAAAGAACGGATGGAGGCAAATCGACGACGCTACGACCTACAGGCTCTACAACTACGGACCATTTCGGTGGTGGTTTTGGTAGACGAAGAAGAGCACTGCTATGGTTTGGTGACTGGGTGCCATCGAACAAAACTGGCACGGATCCTCTCAAAACAAGGTTACAGTTACAACTTTTCACGACATCCAACTTTTCACGAGTTGATTAAAAACTGTAGATTTTCAGTCATTTTATTATTAAACAACTGAAAGAAAAACTGGAATATAATTGACATCTTACATTCAAGAATAATTAAATGTATTTCTAAGTGCTGCTTGTCGATTTTGCTTCAACGAGGCATTGAAATGCTAGGAATATTCAAGTATAAAGATTTCAGGGCGAATTGCTGGTGTAATGAAAAGTTATTAAAGTATTCCTTCCTTACTTCCTTAAACAATTCATCTTTTACCGAATTTATTATTGTTTGACTCAAAGTTGACCCAAATCTTTTTTCTGATTCTAGCCATCCTTTCTTTACGGACATGAATATAGGAACCCATACCGTGGAGGAACGCACAGCTTTTTTTGAGTGTTTTAACCAAACGAATTCGACGTACACAGAAAGCCAACGCCTCGAGCAGGTAACATGCTATCCTGAGCCTGATGCATTGCGTCCCTGTGTTGACATAATGGGCAACAGCTTTCTAACTGCGCTTTCATTTATCGTGTCATTCATTGCTGTCATTAGCAACAGTGCCGTTTTCAGCATTCTCATCATGAGTAGGAGGCAGTTCACCGTCACTAAGTACTTGATCATCAACCTTGCTTTCGCAGACTTATGCTTAAGTTTGTACTTATTCATTCTCACATGTGCATCTATTGATACCACGGGCAAGTACTACAACTCCGTGTTCAGTTGGCAGTATGAAGGGGGCTGTGACATTGTCGGCTTTTTGGCTGTGTTTTCGAGTGAGCTTTCAATGCTGATATTGACAGTAATAACCATAGAGAGATATCTAGCGATTGTTTACGCAGTCTATTTGCAGAAAAGGCTTAGTTTTCGTCAAGCTACAATCCTGACCTCTGCCAGTTGGTTCATTGCTGTGCTGATTGCCTTGCTGCCTTTAGCCGGCATTAACAGTTACAGGGAAGTTGCCATATGCTTGCCGTTCAACATTGCCAACACATCAGATATTGCCTATCTTGCATTCGTGTTTGGTTTCAACACACTGCTATTCATAGTGATTGTAGGCTGCTATCTAAAGATCTACTGGGAGGTCGCGGGCCCGCGCTCAAGCGGACGCCCGCCAAATCAAGGCAACGATTCTTCAGTCGCAAAACGTATTGCCTTGCTCGTGTTCACGGACTTTGCTTGCTGGCTTCCGATCGCAATCGTTGGAATGATAGCAGCGGCAGGCCAAAGCGCCAGTATAAACATGACAGTAGAGAAGAGCAAGTATCTTCTTGTTATATTTTTCCCTATCAATAGTTTATGCAATCCATTCTTATACGCTCTTTCGACGCGAACGTTCCGACGGGAATTTCTTAATGTTCTCGTACAGTGCGGATTTTGCCAAGATCGTTTGCACAAGTACCATACAAACACATTCACTGGGCATAGCATTAAAGGTAAATTGGATCTGAAAGGTCGCCGTGCCACCGAAACCATCAATCTATCGACTCTTACATCAGTAAATGGAAGCTCCACCGTAAAGGTAGGAACGCCGGTGTTAAACAGTACCATGAAAGATGCACCAGCTTCCAATTGTGAATCACAAAGGGAAAAGACATATTCTCCGTCACAAGATCTGCTGATTGTGCCAACGACCGCTAGTTCAACCCCGGACAACAATAATGGTTCAACCGAAAGCCAATCATATACTGGTACAGACAGCAATAACAAGAATGCCCAAAAGTCAGATTCAGTCTTTACAGAAAATCTTCTTGAAAAACCAGATAATCATCGAAGAACTGAATCTACAATACAACTGGCGAATACAGCAGAAGAATTTGATTCCGCCATCGAAACTGACATTGCTTTTTAGCTTTGGAAGAAAGATGTGCCAGTCGTGTACCACTTACTTTCGTGCTCCAGCTCAGAATGTCTGGCTCTGGATTTAACTATCAGCCATTGCGAATTAATCAGAATCGCGAACTTCTGACATAAGTGGAATATGGAGATTTAATGATCAGACAATCGTCTATTTATTATAATAGCATATATTGATCGGAAATTGTTGATAGCTGTAATATGTCACAAGCTTGGAATAAGTCACAACCTGTTCTAATCATATCAAAATACCTGATTGATAACTTCTTTCGTCAGACTTTAGAGATAAATTACGAAACAGTGAACCTAACAGAGAGTTACTTTTCATAAAACCAACATTGATATTTTAGTGACAATTTGACCCATTAGTTGATCTTTGGAATTGCTTTTCGCCAAGAGAGTGCACCGCCGCTCCAACAAATACAGAAATATATTTTCATTCCTTCAACGTTGCTACAAGGATTTGTTTACACATACCTAAAGACAAGGGGAAGCGGATGCAAATTTGCCCTTTAAAGTACAAAGAAAACAGGCACATTTGGTAAATATTTGATGCCCTGTTAAGTCACCCCACCCCCCCCCCTCCCTCTGGTATTTTCTTGTCTCTTCTTGTATCAGTGGAAATAGCTGTGTTAAACTGCTAGTTACATTCCATATGACTATTTATTTTGTTTCGTATTAGTAGAGCATACGAATTCTATGTTCTAGCTACCAAACTATAAATTATCAAGGGTATTCTATATAGTTCAAGCCATGTTGAGGATTCTTTCAACCCTGTCTCCAAAGGGACTGTTGATTCAAGCAAGGTTCCTGGGTCCCCTCATTTTGAGGCATTGATACATATACTTGAGTACTGCCTGATGTTCGAATAAAACGTTATATTTTTATATCACTTTAGTTAAAAAACAATAATGATGTTGTTAAGTAAGTGATTTGAAGTATATATATATCAATAACAATTGATAATATTGATAGATATCAATGGCTTCAAATAGCGATTTCCTTTAATTAGCCCTAGAAATAAAATAATTGTATATATGCTTTATCCTATGTCGTCTCAAAGAGCACACAGAACTTGGTTGTATTATTGATGTAAAGGTTTTGGAGCAACATTTGATTTGGCCGGCAATACAATGTAGATACATAGTTGAAATGAAAGTAATGCAGCTCTTTATGGATTATTCAGTCTCTGAGAGAAAAATTAACGCAATAGACACCACTTGCCACGCTTAGTTAACAAACCATGCTTAGTTAAAGTATCAGGTTGATAAGATTTTTCGCTAGCTTAACTCTCATCATCCACCACTAATCATAATATTCATAAATGTAGGTAGAGAAAATTCATGTGTAATTAGAAAAATTACCCTCATTGATCTAATTATTTGTATATAACCAACAGAACTATGATTTTAAAAAATTGAATTGTACATAAAATCAAACAGTATGAAATTATGTTATTGCGAAATTACAAAAGTCTGTTTTTTTGCACCTGCTTTTTCAAGAAGGTTGAATTAAGATCCGCAAAGTGGCTCTAGCTAGTCTGGAGCAAAGGAGGCCTAATCCTGACAATTTTAAGGATGTATTGCAGGTAACGATATTTTTTTTGTATTTAAATGACAATGAAAGAAAAAGCAAATAATATACTTGTATTTATTCCAAGTAAAGTTTCGCAAAATGCAATTACTTTTGAAACGGAAGTTTTTCTTGCCTAAGCTCCTAAAACACGTTCACAGAAAGTTCTCCAAGAAATTGATAATACGGATTGTTACTACACGGTTTTTCGCAGTTCCTTGACAAGCACAAACATTTCAAACCTGCCAATAACAGTGAGAGAACATAAGAGTGACAAAGTTGTAACATCATAAGAATATATTTTTAAGAATATTTTCGATCACATAAGCAAAAAGGAGAAGATTTGATGACTGTAAATTTGCAAAATCGGTTTCATGAATTTTCTGAGATGTGGTCAGTAGAAGAACAAGAGTTTTCTAGGTGAACTTCTGTTGTTTTGACGAGGTTCATAGGTTTGAGAACCAGGGCCAAATTTCTGTGATTTGATGGGGATAAGCCTTTCAGGTTATGGGAACCAAAAAAATCAAAAACAGTTTGCTAGGATGTCATCACGCTGCCGTTTAATTAAGAAACTTCTTGTCTTGAAAGAGCTTTTCGCCTTGGCCTTTGCCCCCTCTAATTCTGTAATCCAGAAGACTGATGCAATGATTTTTAATGACGCCGTAACTGAGTTTCCAAGTCTATATTTTGAGTTTATATTATAAAGTAAATTGATGAAAAAGGAATTTTTATTAACCATATGCTAATGGAAAATCCACTCTTTAACGGTCTACCTTCAAAAAGGCACAATGAGTTCAAGGGTTTGTCAATTAAAAACCTTTTTATAAGCGAATTTGGGCTGATAACTAACTAACTAAAGATAAGTAACTAAAAATAAATTAAAAATGAGAATATGGTTAGGGATATTGCATTCACTCTGCTTGTTTCTACTATAGTCATTTGACTTAGTTTCTACTGCATACGATAGAAAGGAGACTCAATAAAGTTTTCTGTCTGCGAATTTTTTTTGAAAATAAGAATTATAGTTGGCAGCTTAGAAGTGCACCATTGTGACCAATTCTTAGTAATTTCTCCAGGCGTAAATACGAAGAATTTTTGGCGTACAACTGTAGCGTACAGAGTTGATCGATTCTACTATGGTTAAAAACCATTTGCAAAGGCTAGCCATATTCTGGTTCGAGCCAGTTCCTCTAAGGCTGATAAAAGGAATGATTTACTTTTTAAACTTTTGGGATATTGGCAAACAAACTGCTGTAATTATAGGTTAAAGAAAATGTTCTGTCAGTGTAAAATAGTCTCATTTATGAGCTGTAAAGTCTTTTTAAAGAACTTATTTTGAAAGGCCTTGTCATTTTTCTCAAAATTCTACGGTTATTAGGATCTTTAAGAATTTATTCTGCATATTTCATACATTTTCATATTTCCTTCAGCAAAAGAAGGTATAAGTTAAAATACAAGCTATAGTACAATTCTATATCCATATATATATACAGGATAAAAAGTAGTTTCTGTTAGGGCCTATTTGCGTTTTAAATTTCCCTTGAACTGCGAGAAGGTTGGTAGTTTCCTGATAGCAAGAGGGATGCTGTTCCATGCTGAATTTTGAAAGACTTTTTCACATGTTCAAGGCTATATCTTCGAATTGGGATGTTGTAGTTTTTCTTATTGTAGTTTGAATGCAAGGATTACTGGGAGAATATATCCCAGAGAATCTCAGGGCACATCCTATTCATAATCTTATAGGCCATGGCTGATCGATCTAATTTAATTATTTGTTCAACATCGAGCCAGTTTTGTGACCAATTGTTTTTGAGCTTAGCACTGAATTTATAAAAATCGATTTTGAATGATAAATACTTGAATCTTAACTAACATTTAGAGAAAAATGACAATAAACGAGAGTTCAAGACAGTAGTTATAGCTGTAATTGTGAAAACATTTTCACGAAAAATAAAGTCAAGCCCTGGAGGTATTTGTTTTCCAGGCTTTTAGTCAATATTTTGATATATTGAGGTCACACAATGGTAGAAGAAAAGAACATCGTGATACAGAATTATCAGAGGTTGTGAATATGATCTTTCTTTTATAGGAAAAATTTCATAAGAATATTCAGGCTCAGAATCAATTTTTAAGAATGTTAAAAAAATATTCCTCAGCCACAGCTCGCATATTTGTGTCTCATTTTTCACTAGTTGCCTGTTTTGGGATGTTCATAACAGCGAATCGCCGAACTGACATTTCTCGTTTCTCAAAAGTGTGGTTTAAATTAAAGACCATAACACAGGGCATTTTCTGACATACTCAGAGGTGGGGGAATTGCCCCACCAGGCCCTACGACTTCCCACACCACTGACAAGCAAAATTCTACTTATGCCCTAGATGTCAAGCAACTTTGGGGTCCTTTCAAAAGAATAAACATAATGCAGATGTGCCGGCAAAGAACATAATTTTGTGACTTCTATCATCGTGATGTTTTGGTGAAATGACTCCACTACTGCAACAGCAAGCAGTCGAACAAGCTATGCCTTAAGTAGGGAGGACATTCAGATTCTTTACTGGAAACTGTTTAATCAAGGACGTAAGAAGTATTGGAAAGTCTTCGGTTTAAAGAGGCACCCTAACAAAGATTCTATAAGGATTAAAAAACCCTGTTTTAATTTTCCACCGCCCCAACCTTTTGGTGACCCTAGTTGTGAGTTAATAGTTTTGGTTTGTGGTTACTAAAAGCAGGTCGCATAAAAATATTTTAGACCATGGTCCCAAAAGGTCAACCCACTCTCTTTGCTCCTTAAATTTCCATGGAAAGGTTCAAATTATGTTTAAAAACAATATGTAAGAACGCTTTAAAGAGAATTCATGTCAAATCTTTAAGCCCAGATCCTCAATCTTAAAGAAATTCAGCAAGGATACAGCGTGACCATAAATTGCAAAAAACGCAAAAATTTCGATTCCATATCCAAAACTAAACTTCTTTTAGTTTATGTCCTTGGTAATAACACCACATCTTAACCAAATTGTTATTTTTAAGATGTGTGAAAGATATATGTGTGAAACAACCCAGCTCAACCTTGCAACAAGCCAGGATTTTAACTTAGGGAAGGCAATGACAATCTTAAATCTTAATCATCTGTCCGTAAATCCCGTACAATTTCTTGGGGTCCCCTTGAGGTCAGTGTGGGCCCTTAAAAAATGCCCTGCCATAACAGGTATGAAAAAAATGAGAACAATTTGAGATAACATTCAGGCCAAAATAAGTTTCTTAAGAATATCTAGGCTGGACAAATTTGATAGTTTGCTTATAAAAGAATGTATCGATCAACAGGCTAGTAGGGAGGCCGGGAGTCGGTCCTCTGCGGTGACTAATTTCGTGGTCTTCTTACATGAAGATTTTCGAAATTGCTGATGTCATGAAAGGAAAATGAATGTAGTAGGGCCTCAGATGAAAGCCAAATTCTCAGAAAGAACTATGGAATGGCCGATATCTAAATAAACGGTTCCGAAGGTACCAACGCTTTATGTTTTTCGCATTTGATTAAATTTTGGAATAACGTTTCACTAATCAAACATTCTGAATTCTCAAGAGCTCTATTATTCTCACAATTGAGAGAAATTTATATCGACCCGCTCGGGAGAACTCAGATCTTTCCTTTGGTCGGCAGCTTAATTTTTTACGTTTTTCTTATAATGTGTGTTTTAAGACTTAGAAGGCCCTTGTATTATTTTTGATTGGTATTTTTAATTCTGGATGTCAAAATACGGTGGTTTATATAAAAGAAAATTGTTTGTCACCCTCGGAAATCATGTGTTATTTTGAAGATTCAAAGTTAAAATGACGTCATTCACGACATATTGCTTATTTAAGACCCTTTTAGGTTAGACTACCGGTAAGTTAATAAATATATCAACAAAAATTAGACAACCCCTCCTTTATCAACATAAAACAACTTTTGAAAGAAATAACAAAATGCTTAAAAGTTTGGTTCTTCTACTGCATATATTAGTTCTATAATAACAACACTTGATAATAGCACCATATCTTACAATGCAAATTCTGAACAATTTTCAACAGTGAATTGTCATTTAAATATGGATATGTTGATTTCTGACAATGCAAATTTGAAAAATCATGTTTAAAAAGCAGAAGCTACTTCGGGTAGTTTTAAAACATATAAGCTCCTCCAAGGAGTTGATAGAACTTGGTTTAATCTGCTGGCCCCTTTAATTATCTTATAACCAGATTATAATGTATAACATTTGTTGATTTTCTCTTCTAGTTAATTTTCAACACACATTGAAGACCAACATGGAAAGAGACTCAGATTCAAATCAAGAAGCAAGAGACCTCTCTAAGAATCCATTCGCAGCTTTATTTCCAAGCTTGCAACATGCAGAAGATTATATAAGATCAACCAAAGAAACCAATCATGTTATAAAAATCAGATAGAAACAGATGCAGGGCAGGTTAATTTTGCTCAAAAAGAATTAAGAAATGATGAACAGGATATGGAGAAAACTGAGTATGAAGACAAGTCACAAATGATAAATGATTTCCTTCAAAGAGGATTCCTCTTTACTGTAAACTCAGGTAATATTTGTAAACTATCAACCACCTTATTCTGTGATAATTGTTGTGCTGAACAATATTCAGAGTTTCTCAGATTTTCTTGATATGCTTTAAAACAGCAATTCATCAAACATTTCCATGGTTCATACATTTTAGTAAATTGTGCTTGACAGCCCTACTGAACAATTTATCAAATTATTTTCTCCTCATTGCCTGTTCCCTATACTCCTCCAATAATCATTATATTTTGTTAGTTTGTTTGATAAAAGGAAAAATGAAAGTGGATAAATCTGAATAAGTCAAATCATTTTCTTCCATTTGAGGTTCTTGCAATGAGGCACATGATAATATTTTGATAAAATGTTAGACCATCTGTATCATTTAAAGCAATAAAATTCATATGTTTAGTGAAATAGCTGCACCTTAAAATGGAGGGGCTTGTGATCAAAGAGATTTGTTCAAAGCGTGACATGAATATAACTACCAATTTGGTAGTTTATTCATGTTTTAATTTGAACAGTATGATTCTCTTTAGAGTTGCTAACAATTATAGGCAATACCAGGAATGAATTCGCATGTGTGTATTCAATCGCAATCCTTAGCAAATCAAGAGGTGCAATGTGGTGCTATTTCTATTTATAAGCATAATGAAGTATTTATTAACATTTATTTAAAGTACAAAATTTAGCCAACTCACAGTATATATTTTAAATTTTAAACAATAGTAACCCAAAAAGAATAAGAAGCAAATTTGAATTATCAAACTTTGGTGCTTGATATCTTTTTTCTAGCATATCATTTTTCTTTTTTCTCATTGCTTTGTATTTTTTTTCTTTCAACCCTAAGTGCTGGAGACTCCAGCTCAATAAAGGAGGCTTTGAAATTATGGGTATGTAAATAAATGATAAATGAATGATTTAGCTACAGTTGTTTCATAAGTGTTGTAACTTCATGTAGAGATTCTGACAAAGAAATTCTTTGCTTCTAGGAAAAAAGAAATCAAGCTATAGCACTCTTAGTGGACTTCCTCCTGACTGTGTTTTCTTGAAAGGATTGCATAAAGAAATGAAAGAAAGAAAGGAAGATCTTTTGCTTAGCTCTGAAAATCTAAACCAGGCTTTAATGGAGAGACTATCATTAGCTCAATTTTCCATAGTTTCTTTTACTGCTAGTAAAATTCAGATGACGTCAACATCTCCAGCAGATGACAAATTGTTTATACGATATCTTGCACGCACATATCAAAGGCTTCATGACGAGTTTGCATTGCTCAAACGAAAACTGAAGGTTAGTATGATATATAAAAGTAAATATTTATTGAGATATTTGATCAAATTGATAATCAAACTCATTTTGTATATCATCATTAATGTCTATTATTTTATATTACATATTATCAATTTTAATTCCAGTCCCTTTATGATTATTGATTATTTCTTTTCCCAAAATGCCATAGATTGGTATCTGGAATTGATTATGACTTATAGTCTATTTCTATGATCTTTTCTTTCTTTATTTTGTCATGTTCATCTTTTCCCCGTGCCTTTTTCTATAGTTACTAGGTCTATTTATATATTGCAAAATGGCTTTTGTAAAATCCTATCCACAAAATCCTATTTAAATTTTTTTATATTTTAGGACCTATCCCTTGTTGAAGATCTTGAGTCATTAAAATCGGAGAGTGAATCTCTAATATTTTCATTTGCGGGGTTGGTATGAGTTTTTGTATCTTTACAAAACGTGTAGATTTAACTAGATCTATTTATTATTTCTCAGTAATATTTTGGTAGTAATGAAAACATAATTTGATATTTTTTTCATAAAACCGCCCATTTGTATTACATTTTGGCTGTTGCTAGATAGTTCAATGCCAGTTTTGAGTTTCTTATTTTCATTTAAGGTATTCACTTATTTCTTGATAGGTACTTGTAATTCATCCATTAGCAATTGTTTCTGCAAGGCATTTTTCTATTAAAATTAAAATTTTTCTAATCATAGAACATCTTTCCTATTTGTAATTGATCCCTACATAGAGTTTAGATTTTTTCATTATGATAGCTAATTATGTGAAAGCTTTGTATTTCATAATTGATTTTTCTGCTGTGAAGATGGTTAACACAGTATCAGCTTAAAATCAAATGTTAAACAGGATAATTGCAGATTTGTGATTCCCCTTCCCAATTTTGATAAAAAATCTTAACTGAAAAGTATTCTTACACAGGTCTTTGCTACAGTCACCAGATGTCTTCCCCACACAGGAACCACATAAGCAGTTTCTTGACTTGCTTCTCAAGCCTTGTGGTTTGAAATCTTTACTTTTTTTGTTTAAAATGCTATTTTGTGTGCCTAGAAAACTTGATTGTTAAACAGCAATGGTGAAAGAATTTTGGAAATAATGCTACAAGCTCTTTGTTGAAATAATGTTAATGGTTTTTTCTTTCTCTGTGTGTCATTGATAGCATCAGGCAGGTGTCCAAGTCAAATGCTGTTTTAAAGAACCATCATTCAGTAGCTGCATTTTAAATATCTTCTTTCCCATTGAAGACTGATTTTTTAAGTCAACGACTATCTAGTTAAATTTAGGTCAAATAATTTAAAACCTCTACTCTAGGAAATAACTTTTTCATTGAAAGATTTTCAAGAATAATTCTTACAATAAAAATAATTGCTTAATGGCAGTGGGAGATATTCATTTTTAAGTGGGGGTAAGCAATGCCCACAAAAGCAAGCAAGTTTGCAGACAAATGACAATTTCCGCCACTGCTTAATGGTATCACTTTTCTGTTTAATTTTATGCCTTTTTATGCCTTTCTTTACATTTACCTCATAGACTTTGTTTTCTTAAGCTTATTAACAAGACCCTAATTTCTGAAATTTTGCTGACAGATTGCAAGTACCTGAAGGAATTTTTAGATGGTGTAATTGAGCAGCATAACAATGATGATGACCTTGTGAGTATCCACTGCTATTAGTTCCACTTTAGAATGGCAATTGTGCTAGTTGATGAATTACACTCCACTCACGAAAGTATCCGGACAGTTTCGAATTTAGTTACGAATCTGTTGCTAGAGCAATTTGTTTACAAATTCAAAGTCAGTTTTCATGAAAACGTTTTTATCAATTTCCTTGAATTTTTTGTTGAAATTTGTTTAGCCTTTAATCTATTTATTCGTCGAAAAAAATAATCTTATCGCTACGTAAGCAAACTCTGTGAGGGTTTTGTCTGAAGATGGTAGCGACCGAAACAAAAGAATTGACTTCTGAGCAGTGTCTAAAAATAATGTTTTAGCACAATGATGGGCAATAGCTATCATTAAATTGCTAGTATCATTGGATGCACGAAGACTGCCGCTTTCGAGATGTGCAAAAAATTTGCAAAACAAGAAGTCTAAAAAATTTTCATCGTCAAAAAGAGCAAGAGTTCTCGCGACACCAGTGCCTGAGCGTTCCACCCTAACCAAATTTGCATCAAAACTGGTTTGCATCATTACGCGAAATTGCATAAAATGATCACAAATAATTATTAAAAGCTGTCGATAAATATTGCAAGGAACATGATAAAGAATCGTGAATGTACCCTCGTACCGACCGATTTTAGAAAGACTTGCAACAGTAAAGAAATAATATGGCTTTAGGTATGGCCCTGCACTGAATGATATGTCTGCTTTGCAAGCAAGTTTTTGATCTGGTAAAATGTTACCAAATGTCATCCATGTTTTATAATCGATCGGTGGCATCTCCATGCAAATTTTTCCCAACTGAGAGTAGAAAATACTTGTGTCTCAAGAACCAGTTTGTAAAAAATTGCCATGTTTTATTGGCCCATTTTAACTGAGTCCAAGTTGATTTGCGTAATGCTTGTAGCGCAAAGGTTTCTCATTTTAACAATAAATGATAACAGATAAAAAGCGCAGAAGTTTTGCAACATTTTAATGTCTTGATAAATTTTGGAAGAGTTTCTCAAAAAATTAATATCACTGAGCTAAGAAGTCGTTTTCGCCAACCTGAATTTGTTTTTGTTTGAAAACGCAATCCATCTTCGATCTGTCCGGGTACTTTCGTGAGGGGAGTGTATGTTATACTTTCTTATTATTTCTAAGACTTATTTATTGACAAGCCTTATTTGGATTTACGAGAGGATGCCTTTTTAGTACCACCAGCTAGTACCACCAGTCTCAGGCTCAAGAAATATGAATCGATAGCTTGTATTATGAAACTAAAAATTAATAAAAAGCCACCTTTTTTACATGAATTCAACCCTTGACAGGCAATTTTCTAACATTTAATTTTAGATCCTAGTGCAGTTATCCAAGCGCAAATTTTTCTAACTAGAAGATAAAAGTACAATTATTGCTTGAATGTTGTAATTTTCAGAATCATGTGTATCTAAGCGATTTTTTCCACCTAATCTTAGTTTTAAAACGATGTTTAATTTTCAGAATGAAATGTTCTCGCCAATGATGCACCACTTGATGGACAGAAACAAGTCACTTTCGCTGATGAATCCTGAAATATTCACTGTCTTAGACCTTATGCTATATTTTTCGAAGAAGCCTAAATTAGCAAAGGTAACCTACATTTTTAGATGTGTTTTGAAGATTTGAGGTGTTTTATCTTAGTTTAAAGTATTGAATAACGAATTAGTTTGTTGTTTATGAATGATGATTTGTTTTTTCTCTGTGCTACGAGTTTAATTCAATGTCTGACATTTTTGCCACGAAATTGTGTCCAATATAAAATACCTAATAGTGGCAGAGGCTTTCCTGTTGTGGTTGTATCATTTTCTATCATTTTTTGTCATTTTTGCATTCTTCCACACGTGTCATGACTGCATTCTTTGGTAATGCGTCCTAAATTTGTAACCGTTTTTTAATTTGTTCTTGCTAAGGGTCTCGGGCTATTGAAAATCCAAAATAGTTCCTAGCCAAAATTTATCATAAAGAATAGCAGAAGTAGATTTTGTCTGCTTTTTCGCAGTAATGTCCTCTCTATTCAAGCTCACATTATCTCTTTCAGCGATGCATTGGACTTTTGTCTCGACAAATTTTCTCAACGAAACAATTCTTTCATTTTTTCAACAATTTCATATTTGAGAACAAAGTTTTAAAATTCAGTCTTTTAAAATGTCTTTAGATACTGGTATATTGCGAAAGCTGGTTTCCACCTAGCCGTGCGGCCATGTCGTCGACTGCTGGATTGGACTACGAGCGGATGACCCTCATGGGACCAATTCTAGGAACGACAACTATATCATATAATCCAGCTCAACCATCAGTAAATATGCTGTTATCTATCCAATGTTATTTCATGTAGTTCTATACGAATTTGCTTTTCATGCAGCAAAGTCTTTTTGACATGCAGGGGCGCACAAAATAAACAAAGGGCCTCTGGTAATTGCTAACGCTGTCCATCATAGAAACGCCATTATCAGAGTTCCTAGCTCTCTAAGTGCGCTGAATTTTGAACGAAGGAGCTTTTACGAGAATTAAAATTTTAGGCAGTCGATTACTAGTCGTCTGCTTTGGAAAAATCTTGATTAGTTCAATGTGACCAGTATGTTAAAAGTAGCTGCTCTTACATTGGAAGCATGTTGTGAGCTGACCAAACCAGCCAACCCAAAGTTGGAAACCTCCATGGAAGCGACGCTTGCGTGAAGAGTTTATTTTATGAAATTATTATACCAATGAAGATCTCTCGTTTAATTCAGGAATATTATCTCGACCCAACAAGACAAGATCAAGTTGAAATGGAAGTGATAACAAATAACTGTAGAAGACAATTTGGCATGATTAGTTCCAAAACACATCAAGTAAGTAATTTCTATAATTATGGCTATTTTAACATTTCTGTAGAAAATCTTGGCTTATATTTTTTGTATAACATCAATAGATCTTAAAGAAACTTACTTTGGATACTGGTTTGTGTGATGCCAGAAAGATTCAAAAGGAAGATTAAAGGAAAGTTTTTTTATTGAAATGTCCAGTCTCGTAGTTGTTATTGTGCCCGTAAGACTGGTTCAGTTAGATTTGTGTGACATAGCATTGAAATGTCTTAAACAAACTTTCATATAGAAAACGTTTTTAGGAAAATTATTTCTTACCAGTTTTCTACAATTTTTTGACAGTTGTTTCGAAACCTGCTAGAAAACAAAGAACTTCAACATCAAATTTTGTACTGGATTGGATCGTGTTTGCACCATAACAAGAAGCGTGCACAGGTATTGTTTTCATCAACTAAATCTTTAAAAAGAAATTATAGGATTTATTTTGAAGATCTTCGAAATATTTGTCTCAGGCATCTTTCTTTTTCCTGAAAACTTTCCTGGCATGTAAATATTTGCGTTATCATAAAAATCATAGTTACAAAGCAAAGGAACTTGCAAACAAGAGTGGCACTAGGACAATTTCTTGATGGGGTTTCTGGTGCCAGGTTGATATTTTTTATAAATGCCATCAACCAATTTGCCCTATAAGCAGTAAACAATGCCGAACCAACTTAGTAAAAAACCAATTGATTATACCCTAAAAAAGCATTCCTCTCTTACGTAGCACTATCCTTGCTTGCAAAGTCTGTAGACCTTTCCTCCACTTTTACTTTTTAATGTTTAGTTCGTATTTTGCCTCAATAAATCTCTAGAACAATTATCAATTTCTCTCCACAGCTTTCAATCCACACCGATTTTGGTAGCTCTTTGACACAAGCCAGGGATGGTTTCTTTCTAAATTTAAGCTTCATCATGTTGAAGCTCAGCGAACCATTTCTAGACCTGTCCGAGCGTCCAAGAAAGCTGCTTAAGGTGAATTCGTGTTATTGTGGCGTCAGATCAAAACTCCAAGACATTGAGAAACCTGATACCCTCGTTCACCTTGTGCAAAACCTCGAAGAGTCCAGGGTTGCCCAAAGAACTGAAGAAAGTAAGTCGCAAGCTTTGTCCGTTCTTTTCAGAATCTTGTGAAAAGTTTTCTGCAAGAAAACTATGCGATCTATCCACTCTTCAATCTTGATTCAATTTTCACTTTGAACAACATCCACTTGCTGTAGATTTACCTCAATGTTGATGTTGACATGCACTTTTATTGCAGTGCAAGTAGGCCTTTTGTCTTATTGGTTGCGCTTTGTATTTTGCAAGCATTACTTACCCCAATATATAATATAGGTTACGTATGTTTTATTGATATACCTATTTTATTAGTTATGTGACTCCTGTTTTTAGTGGATGTGATCGATGTAGACTCAAGAGGATTCAAGTTCGTAACAGAATGCTTCTTCATTACACACATGTGCCTAAAATTAGGTAAGTATCCAATTACTAAATAATCTTTATAAACTAAGGACAATTTTCATGATCAGATTGGATTATTGATTGCAAGCAAAGAGTTTTATGCTCTTGATCTAAGGATTTTAATGTGGAACACGGTGTTTTGACCTTTGTGTGACCTATGTTATTTTCAATGTTTACGCGCATAGGGATATTGGAAACTTCAGCCTCGTCCTAAAGGGTGCCGAGTAACTATGAAAGAAGGTAGTTGTTTGGAAGGCATAAGAACGTTTATAACAAGAAAATACACACAGTAAAATAGCATTATTTCATCATCAGTGTAACCTTTTTGTAACTACGAGCTGACTTAGTCTTTAATGAAGCTTCAGTTTTCTTAGTACAAGCTCTTGCAAATGGTTACTAAAAATTCATTCATAACAGCGTTAGCTAAATCTTCTGATGCTTATTAAGAAATGCAATACGTTGTGCTCTTGGGTGTAAATTTCGTATGAAAAAATAAACCATCTATACAAAAGGCAGTTATTAAAATATGTTCAGTTCTTTGATAACTTTTTTTATAGGGTATCTCAAAGCTGCACGAACATACGAGAACTTGATGAAAAGACTGCAAAAGGTATACTTTTTGTTAATAAGCCTTTAAGAGTTTTTGTGTCAATGAATAACTATGATATGAATAGTATTCAAGTATTTAACTTTTACTCTAATCAAAGGTACTGTTTTACTGGTCTGTCAGGAAGTGCTCGATGCAGTATAGGCATAGCTGTACACACTTGTGGTGTATAAAACAGGATGGTTCTAAACTGCTTCTCCGAGTTCCACTCTTGATATAATCATCAGACTGTTGCCTGATGATCGCTTTACATCAAAAGCATAATCTTTACTCTGATGCATCATTAGCATTGACAAGGTGATATCTAATCATTTCAATGATTTTCGTATATCAATTGGTGTTTGATCTGATATAAATAAACCTCTGAATATGTATTCTTCTAAATGATTTGATTGTTTTTAGATGAGTGAGTTGTATCAGGATGCAAGAGGCAGCAGTATTGTGACTCCGGAACTTGATAGGATTAAGGAAGAATTTGAATCTGACATAAGGAGGCAGCTGTCTCTGAAGGTATTTAATTTTGTGCTGGTTTTGCTTAAGTATTTAATTCTGGTTGATCTAGATTTCTTCATTCGCCTTAGACTCCTTTAGATATTGCAAATGTATGGAAGTTCTGCCGAAGTAAAGGCTCCATTATTTTAGGCATTATTTAAAGAAGTAAAGGCATTATTTAAAACTTTTACTGACACTGTTTGATTCAGTATAAAATATAACTTATTTTTCATTATATTCTAAAAACTCATATCGAATGTTTCACCTTCTTTTGTATTTAGGAACTCTTTCTTTTGTTTAGAAAAAAGAATGACTTAGATGAACTTGGCATTCATTTACCAGTGAGCATGGTTTTATAAATGCTTTGTTTTATTAAGCTTATTCAAAATTTTGAGCAACTTTTTTTTTATTTAGGCCCATTTACTAAATCCCGAACTTCTAGAGATGGTGATTCGCTTCTGCGCAGGGACATCATATTGGCTTGTGCAGCAACTGATAGCTGGAAAAAGCTTTAATGATAGTCAACATCGCGATTTGAATGTGCCGGAATTGAAAGATGAGGTTTGTCATTGTTCAGTTTCAACAATATTCCTTTTTTATTTGCTAACAGAAATTTTGTTATCTCTCTATTCATCTTCCACTGGGTCATCCTCGTCATTTCTCAATTATCTATTGGATATTCCACAATGTATTCACTGCGTTGTCAGCGGGACAGAGTTTTTTCCTTGGAATAGAGAAGGATACATTTATTGATATCGACGACTTCCTATCATACATGTAGTTGCAGTATCTATTTCCCATATTTCTAGCCAAATTGGTTAATGTCACCATGCAACTTGCATATCCACTAACTGCATACATTATCGACAGTTGCATCAACGCCAGTATTGCGTTATATATTCTCAACACACCAACATTTTTCTCTTGCATTTGCTTTTCTCGCCCCATCTACCCGCATCCATTAAAGGCAGTCTATCCCCTCAATGATTGGCTTATTTGAACAATTGGTCCTGCCGCCTTAACGGATTACGCTGCTCGCTTTGGCTGGCCTAGCTGCGGTAGTGGACGGCATTTGAAATTGCGATCAAAAGGCTATCGGAAATTGCAAGGAGGTATAGTTGCTGGAATTGAATGATGATAATGGAAGCATTTCTTTTCCCTGTTGACACTTCTGTCGCACAAACCAAACAGGGAACAAAATTTATGTAGCCACAGCTTCACTTCAACGGGAGCACAGCCATTTGATTCAAAAGCTCTGGAATCAAAGTTGTCTCTGATTGGTTTAAATCGTTTAATTATCGATCAAGCTCAATGGTACGTGAATTTCACTCCCGTGAAAATAATGTTGAGCACAATAGGGGACAGACTGCCTTTAACTTGGGCATAGACCCTGAAGATGCCCTATTGTTTTCAGTTGTTTTATTTACCTGATAAAAGCTACTACCCATTCAAACACAGGTTTCCCCTGCGATGACCATAATACCAGAGCATGTTGTTGAAAATGTTGCTGACTGCATTATATTCATATCGTGAGTAGTAATCTCATTACTTTCACGAATTTTGCTTTCAACAATGTACTGGCACTAATAAAAATTTACTAGAAGAATTATCCTTCGATATTGGAGATTCAATTCTTATAAATTATCACACAAGTTTTGATATTACTTTGATTCAATTTCTTATTTCAATTTGTGTTTAATTATATCAAATAATTTCCACTATCTATTAAGTAATCATTTTCTTTGGTATTTCAGACATTTCAGTGGAGACATTCTTGAGAAATCAGAACCCATTTTAGGTGAAATAATGGTTTTCTTATCCTTATTTCTTGGGTGAGTTTCAAGTTCATTTTATTTTAAGATAGCACGAAAAAGCGGAAACATAACAAATTAAAATACTTGTCGTCCGACAGTTCTCAGAGCATGAGCGTCGGATAATACCCAAGGTAAGCGAAAAATTATGTCTAGATGCAAATTGAAAGAAGGTTGAGAGGAATGATGTCGCATTTGATTGGTTCCTTGTTAGGAGGGATGTCGCATTTGATTGGTTCCTTGTTAGGAAGGATGTCGCATTTGATTGGTTCCTTGTTAGAAAGGATGTCGCATTTGATTGGCTCCTTGTTAGGAAAGATGTCGCATTTGAATGGTTCCTTGTTAGGAAAGATGTCGCATTTGATTGGTTCCTTGTTAGGAAGGATGTCGCATTTGATTGGTTCCTTGTTAGGAAGGATGTTGCATTTGATTGGTTCCTTGTTTTTTTAGATACGAAAATACTCCAGTATGTTATGTTTTTGCTTTTCCATGCGATCTCCAAATTTTACAGTACTGAAGGCCATTTTGGTCAATTGTCTTGGTTAAATCAGTTATATTTTATTGCATAATATTGAGATGTAGCTTCCAGCTAGAAAATTTTGAATGATCCATGTATTTTATTTTTTCAGCTCTTCAAAACGAGTCAACAATCCTCATCTGAGAGCCAAACTGGCAGAGGCACTTGCTGCGCTGTTACCAAGGAAACGGTCTGATGACATAGGCTATTCTTCTGCAGTGAGTGCAGAGATTATTCCGTAGCTTTTAAATACAGATCAAAATATCTTGATAGCTCACTTTCTTTGGTTTTTGTTAAAAAATATGCTTGGTAAGTTTTTTAGAAATGAACGTTTCTGTGTTATCATCGATTTATCAGATGTTGCCTAAGTTTCCCCTTAGTACCGTCCTATTCTATAAACAAAGGTGTACTATACGACATCAAGCACTTTATGACTGACCAATTTATTTGTATGAGCTCATGCTTGAAGGCAATCTGTCTCGTTGTGAATTGGTTAACGAGAACAATAGCTGGAACAATAGCCTAAACACGATTCCAGCGCTCCGCCATATTTTTCACAATGCGATAAATTAAAGGGGACTGGAAACAATAAAAAATCCCTTTGTTCCTATAATCAATCAATGTCGTGACAGATTGCCTTTAATTAGTTGTCGTTGTGCTTTACATATTGAAAATGTCTCCAATAATTTCCTATAAATCATTAAAGTCTCTATCCGTTGAACGTCACTATTAGCGGTCTATTTAAGCTGACTAAGTTTTCTATGATACCTATCTGATTCATTTAGCGACCGATTTTTCCAACAGATACTTGGAGGAAGGGTTTTCGAAACATGCCAGTTGATGCCACATATACTCCCGGAAGCTCTGCTTAAACTGTTTGTTGACATTGAGTTTACTGGCCATTCATTGGAGTTCGAACAAAAATTTGGTATGTTTCTTTTTTGTCGCATCTGGTCATATCTACGTTTTTACTTTCATTCAGTCACACAGAATTGCGTCAAAAAAATAAAGTGACGAAGTCAACAGAGTTTGTTAAATGTTTTTTGTTTAGTTGTTGAAAAATCCTGTTTCAAAAAGTTTCAACAAACATAGTTTGTTATTTAACACGATAGATTGTTTATAAAAAGAAAGGGAATCCACGTTATTCATTTATTATTAGATTTCGAGGCAGCTCTAATGAAACTTCCTTGTAACACAAATGATATCGTCACCTGCTATTAGTGCTAGAAATCTGGTATTAGTTTTTTGTAATGTTTACTTTCTGTCCGTAACTGTTTTCCAAAATTGCAACAGTGATGCTATGGTTCCCTCGAATTTTAATGGGTGTAATGTATAGTTATTTTAGATTATCTATCAGGCATTCTTAACATATTATAATTGTTTGGTTGCTGTTATTATATGTATAAAATTTTTCACAGCAAACCAATTCTAGTTATGCAACAGCATAATCGATAATGGAACTATGTTCACTTAAGACTGTATCCGTTTCATTTTCCCGAGGTTTAGTCATATCAATTCACTAACAACTTTTAATCCTACAGTTCTATGCATATGACTGTGTACATGTTCAAATATAATTTTGCCACACTTTATCATGGCATATTTTATAAATTCGAGATTCTGTCAACATCATTTCATACTAAATTTTTTCAGCTAAACTTTAAATGATCTCAAAGGCATTGGCTATATCTGCTCAAGGGAAATAGTACTATGGCTATATTCCCAGATATCTTTTGATGGTTTTTCAATGTTTAGATTATCGTGATAAAACCAAAGCAAACGGAAGTAAGACTACTCCAAACAAATGACTTTTAAGCCACTTTATGATTATTCTTAACCAGGATATCGTCATCACATGTACGCTGTCCTCGAATACATCTGGAAACTTCCCAGCTATAACAAAGTGTTTCTGGATCTATTCGAAGAGGTATTTTATTCATTTTCGCTCTATCCTATAATTAAATTTGCATTAATGATATCCATTTTGACACTTGACAATATTAGTTGATGGCAAATTATCTTTTGATTATGTTATCCTAATTTCATCTTTGCTGTCTTATTTTTTTACAGGGTCGTATATATTACTCAGAAAAGTCTGAATTTTCAACATTCCCAAGATTTATTAACCTGCTCATGAATGACAGTACGTTTCTTTTGGACGAAGCTCTCCAGGTATGTTGATAATTTCCACTTCTTAAGCAGTGTTGTAGCCAGGAGGGGGGGCAAGGAAGCATTGTAGATTTCTACCTAGATGGTCGGCTAAAACTTCTACGTATTTTTTCGAATCCGAATGAGGGGAACAGGGGATGGGGTTTGAATTTTCATCAGCACTGTGAAGTAGTAATTGTATTGTCAGTTGTTAGCAAATACGGTTGTCAGTCGTTTAATATGGGACTTTTAAAAAAAGTTGCCCAGGGTTAGTTTCTGGACGCCTATCTTACCTTCCCTTTGCCCCCTCCTCTTGATTGGATGAAAAGAAGAAACATTCATAAAATCTCTTTCTTTCCTTACTAAAAGCCAGCACTCACTAGAAAAAAAAATAAGAGCATGTGCGAAAGGGGAAGGACATTTATCTTATTTGAAAGAGAGCTTTGCTAGCTCTTAGGCTCGAGTTTTGCTAACTCGAAAGGTTACAAATTTAGGTCTTTAACTTGAGTTTGACGATAACCGAAAATTTTGTTCACTAACAATTGAGCCCAGGCAATCCACTGCTCTACTGAATCTTTCTTCTAATGCCTCCTATGTTGTGTTTAGGTTTCCAGCTGGTATAATTTGAAAGGAAACAGTCATGGTCAACTAGTTTAAACGAAACTGCTTCATTAGGATCCATGTATTTCATCTTCATGCAAAGAATACTTTCAACACATGTATCAAGATATCACACACCTGATGGTTTTTTTAAAGCTTCATACGTAGAATAGTTTTCGTTTGAAAATCACATTGTCATCTACAGTGACGTCTCCCTTTACCTGAAACTCAGCCATTTATATGCTTTCAGCTTATCCTTATATAAAACCAGGAATATCACAGATTTGCCTTATTTCAGGATATTGCTCCTTACAATATAAATCAGGAAAAGGGTGGGTGAGCCACCCTGTATTTTGCCTGCAAGTTTTAAAATTCACCGACGAAGCACCCTTTGATGGCAAAAGTCTCGACTTCTAAGGTAGATCTTGATAGTGAAATTATCCAACTACTGAAAATCAACCGAAGTCATCAACACGTTACTGGCTACAAATTTGAAATATCGCTGTTGTTCTGATATCAACCTGATTCTTGTCATAAAGCCTTTTCTTCAAACGGGTTTAAAACTCACTATCGATGATACTGATGTATGTGTGATATGTATTCTGCTTTTGACTATTGTTGTTATTGTTTTGTAAAGCACCTATCCAAGATTCGAGAGCTTGAAAAAGAAAAACAAGATGAAAATTGGACAAAGTTACCGCGACAAGTTCGTGACGAGGTACGCTAAATTTGAAGATATTTTGGCCTAGAACCGATTATAACAAATTTTCTTGTTGAATTCAAAGCACTACTATTAAAAACATAACATGCATCAAACTATCCAGTATGTTGAATAATTTGTGCGTAGGATTAGGCTTAGCTTCAGTTGCTGTTCTTTTGAATATAGGGATATCTCATTTGAGACGTGCTTATAGTTTTTGGATATTTTTATCTACACAGAAAGAGAGGACCCTGTTTCAGTTAGGCGAGATGTCACGAGGCTATAACATAATGGCGAATGAA